TCTGCTTAACTGCATATCTTGGAATCTCTTGCCCAGGCATACCCTCAGGAATGAGTAGAGGTTTATCTGGGGTCTGAGGAGATACATCAAAGGGGACATCAATGCTCCTTAAAGAGACTGTTGCTAATTTTTGGTCCACATTTTTGTACAGTGTACAATGTTTTTGCTAAGAAGTTGTCCTCAAGTTTTAAAGTTCCTTGGGCATCCCATATATTCCTAGACCCCATACAAGTTGTGAACCTTCAACAAAAATATCAAAGACAAGCTCAAGGACTGTTTTACTGACTCTGAGTGAAAATGTGGAAAAGGCGTGTTGCCTGGCCATGTAGAGCTTAAGGAGACCCAATTAAAATCCAGCGGCTCTTGCAGGGGTAGCATTACACAGTCACTGTCTTTCTCCATTGGTGGTCAGTGGAGAATGTCTCAGAAAACGACTGGACTAGCATTATGCAATAAAATGGAATACTAGAAAATGTAACTTGCAAAGAATCATAAGAGAAAGTATTGCTAATTCCTACAGTAGAGATCTTTAAACTAATGGAATGCAGTTTAAAATAATCACTATATACCGTGTCCCCTGAACAGTTTAGTACATTCCTGGTTGTACAAGATATTGGAACACATAGTAATGCAACCATTCTCAACTAGAGTTCCTCAGAACCTTAGAGTTCCTTCAGATATTGCTGGGGGATTCTTGTGCACCGAGCACTGGGGCCAATGGAGTTTCTCAATTCCCAGTGACACCAATTTATTTTATCTTTCTGTTACATTGGCATGTCTTTCAGTGACCCCCAATGAAATGGGTCATTCTTCCTACAAACCATTAGTGTAAGGCACCTCTTCTCCCATTGATATTTTCCCACTGACCACCAATAAAAGGAGCATTCTTCCCACTGATCACCAATGTAAAGGGAATTCTTCCCACTGACCAACAATAAAAAAGTGACATTCTTCTCACTGGCCATCAATATAAAGGAAATTGTTCCCTCTGACCACAAATGTAAGGGACATTCTTCCTACTGACCACAAATGTAAGGAACTTTATTCCCACTTATCACCAATGTAAAGGACATTTTTCTCACTGACCACCAATAGAAGGGACATTTTTCCCACATTCTTCCCACTGACCACCAACATAAGGGAGATTCTTCCCACTAAGCACCAATGTAAGGAGCATTTTTCCCACTGAGCACAAATGTAAGGAGCATTCTTCCCACTGACCACCAACATAAGGAACATTCTTCCCACTGACCACCAACATAAGGAACATTCTTCCCACTGACCACCAATGTAAGGAGCATTCTTCCCACTGAGCACCAATGTAAGGGACATTCTTCCCACTGACCCCCAATGTAAGGGACATTCTTCCCACTGACCCCCAATGTAAGGGACATTCTTCCCACTGACCCCCAATGTAAGGGACATTCTTCCCACTGAGCACCAATGTAAGTTGCATTCTTCCCACTGACCACCAATGTAAGGGACATTCTTCCCACTGACCACCAACATAAGGAACATTCTTCCCACTGACAACCAACATAAGGAGCATTCTTCCCACTGAGCACCAATGTAAGGAGCATTCTTCCCACTGATCACCAATGTAAGGGACATTCTTCCCACTGACCACCAACGTAAGGAGCATTCTTCCCACTGAGCACCAATGTAAGGAGCATTCTTCCCACTGAGCACCAATGTAAGGAGCATTCTTCCCACTGAGCACCAATGTAAGGAGCATTCTTCTCACTGGCCATCAATATAAAGGAAATTATTCCCTCTGACCACAAATGTAAGAGGCATTCTTCTCACTGACAACCAACATAAGGGACATTCTTTCCACTGAGCACCAATGTAAGGAGCATTCTTCCCACTGACCCCCAAAGTAAGGGACATTCTTCTCTCTCTGAGCACCAATGTAAGGGACATTCTTCCCACTGAGCATCAATGTAAGGAGCATTCTTCCCACTGACCACCAACATAAGGGCATTCTTCCCACTGAGCACCAATGTAAGGAGCATTCTTCCCACTGATCACCAATCTAAGGAACATTCTTCCCACTGATCACCAATCTAAGGGACATTCTTCCCACTGAGCACCAATATAAAAGGGATATTCTTCCCACTGAGCACCAATGTAAGGAGCATTCTTCCCACTGATCACCAATGTAAAGGGAATTCTTCCCACTGACCAACAATAAAAGTGACATTCTTCTCACTGGCCATCAATATAAAGGAAATTGTTCCCTCTGACCACAAATGTAAGGGACATTCTTCCTACTGACCACAAATGTAAGGGACTTTATTCCCACTTGACACCAATGTAAAGGACGTTTTCCCACTGACCACCAATAGAAGAGACAGTCTTCCCACATTCTTCCCACTGACCACAAACATAAGGGACATTCTTCCCACTGATCACCAATGTAAGGAACATTCTTCCCACTGATCACCAATGTAAGGAACATTCTTCCCACTGACCACCAATGTAAAGATGCACCGCTCCAACTGACCATCAATGCAAAGCCATATAATTTTTTGTGCCTGGATTTCTTTTCCAACCATTATTGTTACTTGTTTAATTTCATGATTATTACTGAATCTTATAGTCATACAAAGTAAACCAGCATGAAACATCTTCAGGGTGTTAAATTTGCTATGTACACCACATTCTTTTATTTACTATTATGAGGTGTGTCTCAAAAGTTCGGGGAATCATGTGATATCTCAATGGCAACATGGGACAGGTTCACACGCACTCACATGGCTATCCAGAGATACATCGAGAAGAGCCACCTAGTGTGGAGTACATGTGACCATCAAGGTAAACCCGCTGCGGGCAGTCGAGTGTAATCAGTGTGAGAGGAAAGGTTACAGTGAAATGGAGCAATGAGTGAACATCAAGTTCTGCTACAAATTGGGGAAAGCAGTGACGGAGACACATGAAATGTTGGTGCAAGTGAACAGGACAGAAGCTATGAACAGATAATGTGTTTATGTGTTAATGTGTAAAGGACTTTTTTTCCCCACTGACCACCAATGCCAGGAACATTCTTCCCAAAGACCACCAATGTAAAGGGGCACCTCCACCATTTACTACCAATGTAAGGAGCATTCTTCCCACTGGCCACCAATGCCAGGAACATTCTTCCCAAAGACCACCAATGTAAAGGGCACCTCCACCATTTACTAACAATGTGAGGAGCATTCTTCCCATTGACCACCAATGCAAAGATGCACTGCTCCAACTGACCATCAATGCAAAGGCATACCATTTTTTGTGTCTAGATTTCTTTTCCAACCAATATAGTTACCAATAATGTACAACATTATTGTTATTGTCACTTGAGGATGCACCACCTTCAGTTTGGCCATCAACAAGCAAAAACAGAAAGCAAAACTGATGGAAACCTCTGGAAAGTTCATTACCATGTGTGACCAGGATCTGTCCTTTCTGTGAAGCATCGTCATAGGGGATTAGACCTGGTACTACCAGTTCGATCCAGAATCCAAGCGGCAATCGATGGAATGGCATTTGTTGTTTTGCTTTCTGATACCATTAACCAAACTTTTTAGACACACCTCAAGAAGCGCCACCTAGCGTGGAGCACATGTGACCATCAAGGTAAACCCCTGCGGGCAGTCAAGTGTAGTCAGTGTGAGAGGCAAGGTCACAGTGAAATGGACCAATGAGTGAACAAACAAGTTCTGCTACAAATTGGGGAAAGCAGTGATGGAGACACATGAAATGTTGGTGCAAGTGAACAGGACAGAAGCCATGAACAGAAAATGTGTTTATTTCTTTCGCAGCAGGAAAGAAACTGAAGATGCGCCACGTTTGGTTTGGCCATCAAAAAGCAAAACTCCACACATGATCAAGCGAGTGCAACAAATGCTGGCCCCAGATCGGCGACCGACTCTATGAATAATGGCTTAGGAATTGGACATTAGCAGGGACACAGTGCGCACTATCATCCGCGAAGATTTGGGTAAGTGGAAGATCTATTCCCAGTTTGTGCCACACAAGCTGACAGACAAACAGAAAACAAAACGGATGGAAACCTCTGGAGAGTTCATTACCATGTGTGACCAGGATCCATCTTTTCTGTGAAGCATCGTCACGGGGGATGAGACCTGGTACTACCAGTTTGATCCGGAATCCAAGCGGCAATCGATGGAATGGCATTCACTGTTTTGTTGTTTTGCTTTCTGACACCATTGACCAAACTTTTTAGACACACCTTATATATATCTAAAACCAACTGACTATACAAATACACCATGAGAGATAAGAAGGTTGAGAAAGGCTGTTCTAGAAGATATTCTTTTTTTACAATTTATTATTTCAGCTTGATTACATTTGCATGTTCTCCCTGTGCCTGCGTGGGTTTCCTCAGGGTACTCCGGTTTCCTCCCACACTCCAAAGACATTCTGGTAGGTTAATTGGCTCCTGTCTAGTATGGGTATGTATGAATGTGAGTTAGGGACCTTAGATTGTACGCCCCTTGAGGGTTAGGGACTGATGTGAATGTACAATATATATGTAAAGCGCTGTGTAAAATTGATGGCGCAATATAAGTACCTGAAATAAATAAATAATTACATTGTGTTAACACGCACTATCCTTGGTACAAGCTGTTCATTTTTTCAACTCATGTTTCACCAGGATATTGGAGACAGTTTGATATATGAATCCATGAGATGTTCTATTTCATCATTATGAAAAAAAGACACCAATGGAAATCAAAAACCAAACACAAGTGACCATGTTCAAGTTTTCTGGATTAACTGATAATAAAGAACTTGCCCCGTTTCTTTTCATGTTGATTTTTTTTTATATATTTGATGACCATAGTTGGAAATGTGGGAATGATAGCCCTTGTCTGCATCTTCCCCAGCCTTCACACGCCAATGTACTATTTCTTGAGTAGCCTCTCTATGGTGGACCTTTTGTGTACTCTTCAGTTACCACTCCGAATATGTTGTCTCAGTTCCTTTCTCCTAAGAAGTCTATTTCATTTCTTGATTGTGCTGTCCAACTGTATTTATTTTGTGCGCTAGGGTGCACTGAGGCGATCCTACTCTCATCCATGTCTTACGATCGCTATGTGGCAATCTGCCACCCTCTCCACTACGCCTTAATAATGACCAAGAAGAAATGTTTTGGTTTGGTCCTTTATTCTTCCTCCATTAGTTTCTTTCAGTCAGTTGTGCAGACCAGTTGTGTGTTCAGTCTTCCATTCTGTGGATCGAACCTTATTGACCATTTCTGTTGTGACATTCTACCACTTATTAGTCTATCTTCTTCTCACAGTCTTCATTGTGAGATGGTCAGCGGCGTCCTCATAGCAATCTTTGGAACGTATACATTGACAACAATCTTCCTTTCGTACGTTTTCATATTTCTTTTAATTTTTAGGATGACGACTACGCAGAGCAGACAGAAGGCCTTTAGCACGTGTTCCTCACATATTATTTGTGTCTCAACCTACATCACCGCCGTCTTCTTCACATACCTGCGTCCTTATTCGGGGAGATTTAACATACAAGACAAGGTGGCCTCTGTTCTCTATACAGCAGTGACTCCAATGCTGAACCCTCTTATCTACAGCCTGAGGAACCAAGAGGTGAAGAGGCTCCTTGTCCAAGCAATTCGAAAATCTTTTTAAAGTAGATATTCGGTGTTCTGTAAAATGTCTGGGACACTCCTTGTAAACCACACACACACTTACTAGAACATAAAAAAAACGAAAAAAAAAATGCAGCGCTACACATTCACAAGTACTATTAAACATAAAAAAAAAATATAAAAAAAATTATAGTGTCCAATAATGTGCAAGAAAATTATTTATATTTCAGTATTTTTATTGAAAAATTGGTATACACAGAAATAGAAACATTGTCCACCTACATGGTGAGTTGGGGTGAACAAACATGTACATAAAATATATCGGCATGTAAGAAAACATTAGTCGATGATGTTGTAAACAGGAAACACCATCCCCATAGGGTATTTATTTATTTATTTCAGGTACTTATATAGCGCCATCAATTTATGCGTTACATATATATTGTACATTCACATCAGCCCCTAACCCTCAAGGGGTGTACAATCTAAGGTCCCTAACTCACATTCATACATACATGTACTAGGGCCAATTTAGACAGGATCCAATTAACCTACCAGCATGTCTTTGGAGTGTGGGAGGAAACTGGAGTACCCGGAGAAAACCCACGCGGGCACAGAGAGAACATGCAAACTCCAGGCAGGGGGTGCCATTGATGGGATTTGAACCAATGACCCAAGTACTGCCAGGCGGAAGTGCTAACCATTCAGCCACTGTGCTGCCCAGCAAATGTTCCCTCAGTCAGTAAGCATAGGCAGTTTCATATAGATATTTAACAACAATAAGAAAACCGAAAAAAATGATTAAAAATAGAAGAATCGAAAAGAAAGATCCAGGATAAGTCAGAAAAGAAGGGGGGGAGGGGGGGGGGAGGGGGGGAGAGAGAGAAAAAAAGGAAAAAGGGAGAGAGGCCAGCCGTAGTTCTATTAAATAATAAAAAAAAATTATTTAAATTAAACATAAAGTCTTTAGTGACAAATAAAAGTTCAAATAATTTCAGAAAAAATTGTGTTTCCAAAAAAAATGAAAAAAAAAAAATAAAGAAACTTCTTGGGGATCCACCATCACCAGCCCCCCAAAAAATACTGCCTCTTACCAGACTTATGTGACCCCACAATTAAGTGGCGGTCAAGAAAAGCATAGTGCGGATACCAAATTAGGATGACGAGCTCCGTTATCGATGACTTTGGGGGGATACGGTGCACTCCATACACTGGATGTAGATAGACGTCAATAAGATCCCTCTCATTAGATTCCCAAATCAAGGCATAAGCTCCCAAACTGATATTTCAGATAAATTGCCAAATATAGACCTAAAACAATGAATTACCCTCAAAAAGAGGACAAAATCATCCAAAAAGCAAAAGAATCCTCATGGTGTAGTATGATTAGCAGGATTTATTAAGATACTTAAAACAGAATGTCACCATATAAACAAATGGTAAGTTTCTAACCAACGAGATGACCACCGCGTTTCGGTGCGTGCTGACGTCACGCGTTCTGACTCTTTCCAACGCGTTTCGTCATCTATGACGTCTTACTAGAACATAATAACTTGATAAAACGTTTTCCAAAGCACGCAGCTACATCAATACCTATAGCAATCAAAGAGAAGGCCCAGGAATCTCAGGCACTGTATAACTTTATTCTTAGATGCCCTGTTTGATTAGGAAGATATACAGGTGTACCTCAGTTTACCAATTTAATGAGTCTTCCGGGATGTTTCTTATTGCAAAAAAATTGTAAACCGAAACGCGGTTTCCCATAGGAATGCATTGAAAACCAATTAATCCATTCCGAAGGTCAGAAAAAAGTAAAAAAAAAAAGTCTTTAAAACTCTTTATAAAATGCGCTTTAACCACTTCCCATCCGGCTGCTGTATATAAACGGCCAGAAAGTGGCAGTGCAGGGGCAGGTTGCCGTTCATAAATAGCGCCCGCCATTTTGGATTGCGCGCGCTCCCTGGTGGCGAGCGGAAAAAGTAGGTTGGCTCCCCTCCTTGGGGCCCCCTCCCTGGCTCTCTACTCCAGCACCTTCCTTTAGTCCATCTTCCACCCCATTCACTTGCTGCACAGGCTCTGCAACATTTAACCACTTCCCGTCCAGCCATTGCAGATAAATGGCTGGATGGGACGGTTGCCGAAGTGGGTCGATGTTTCTAAACGTCACCCACGTTCACTGCCTGGGAGCGTGCAGCACTGATCACTGTACGGGACCTCTGTGTGAGGTCCCAATCATGTGATCACTGATTGGCCAATCAGTGACCACATGAAGAGTAGTAAGCAAGATGTCACTTCTGACATCATTGCTTACTACATGTGAAAACTGTGAATGATCACAGAGGTCACATGGTACAGGGCTATTCACAGCAGCCTTGTACCATGTGACAAGCTGTGACCAATCACAGGTCACACAGTATTTCTCAATGGCTGCAAGAATGCAGCCAGAGAGAAGGAGAAATGATTGCTTTTACAACCTTTATGGGCGTAAAAACAATCAGTGTAAAAAAAAAAAAAATCTTCATCACCCCCCACAAGTAGTACAGTGTCACTATGGTGACACTGTACTGCTAGGGTGACTATGTTAAAAAAAAACATAAATAATAATATAAAAAAATTAAAATGTAAAAAAATTTTTTTTTAAAAATTATAATTTTTGGTTATAAACTAATTTGGGTTCTTTTTTTTACTAAAAAGATAACTGAATAAATGGCCAAGATTTATGAAGAAAGATTATTTATTTGCCAAATTTTATAGGAAAAACTTTTTTTCTAAATTTTTGGACTTTTTAATTTATATAGCAAAAAAAAATAAAAATGCCAGTGGTGAATAAATGAATAAATACCACCAAAATAAAGGTTTATCTGTCTCCAAATAAATGCTAAAAAAATTCATATGGGTACAATGTTGCATGACCGCGCAATTGTCATTCAAAGTGTGATAGCGCTGAAAGCTAAAAATTGGCCTGGGCAGGAAGGGGGTAAAAGTATCCAGACTTTAAGTGGTTAATGATCATGGGATCACTGTGCTTGATTGGTCAGAAAACTTGCCTTACCTAAACCCCATAGAGAATCTGTGGGGTATTGTCAGGAGGAAGATGAGAGACACCAGACCCAACAATACAGAGGAGCTGAAGGCCACTATCAAAGCAACCTGGGCTTCCATAACACCTCAGCAGTGCCACAGGCTGATCGCCTCCATGCCACGCCGCATTGATGCAGTAATTCCTGCAAAAGGAGCCCCAACCAAGTGTCGAGTGTATACTATACTGTATATGGACATACTTTTCAGTAAGCCAACATTTCTGTATTAAAAATCCTTTTTTTTTATTGGTCTTATGTACTATTCAAATTTTCTGAGATACTGAATTTTGGGTTTTCACTAGCTGTAAGCCCTAATCATCAAAAATAAAAATAAAAAAAAAGAGAGAAAAAAGAAATGCTTGAAATATATCACTTTGTGTGTAATGAATCCATATAATATATGATTTTGAATTTTTTTATTGAATTACTGAAATAAATTAACTTTTTGATGATATTCTAATTTATCGAAATGCACCTGTAAGTACACTAAGTTGAATAACAATGGCCTTAGAAGAGAAGAGGTCCCTTTAACAAGAGATTGAAACTTTCCTGCAAAGTTCCCGATGTGGTGGTATCCGTTGTCCTCTGCTAGCAATGGTGGGGCCCATACACATTAGTGAATACCAGCAATTCAGTTAAGTTAAACAGATAAGCCATGGTACTGTTTAAAGTGAAAGTCTTTTTTTTTTGTTTTTTTAAATAACAAACATGTCGTACTTACCCGCTCTGTGCAGTGGTTTTACACAGAGCAGTCCAGATCCTCTCTTCTCAGGTCCCCGCCAGCACTGCTAGTCCCTCCCCCCTGTCATGTGCCCTCACAGCAAGCAGCTTACTATTGGAGCTCCTGAGCAGGCATGCTCCCGATCCATGGCTCTGCAAGTCCATTCACACACAGAGACATGGCTCAGCCCCGCCCCCTCCCTCTCCTGATTGGATCACTGGCTGTGATTGACTGGGAGTGAGAGGTTATCGTGAACATCACTGGATCAGGATGGGGCTCAGATTTGTGTTTGATGGCTAGGGGGGCTTAATGCCTAGAAAGTATGAAGGCACAAAACCTTGAGCCTTTAGAACCACTTTAAAGCAAAGGTCTCCTGGTAACTGAGGTGTAAAGGTGTCTGTATACTGTGAGTGATGACAGAAAGAGGTTGGGCATCCGCCTGCTCAGCAATCCCATGGATAGCACGGCCTCCTAGGAACAGAGTTCTTTCCCGGGCTCTTGGCTGTTTGCAGGGAAATGCAGAGTTACCGACCAACTTAATCAAAATTATTCTTACGCCTCAATTATTATACTGTATCTGCTGCACAATTCCCCTGTAGTGATACTATACAGCCCCATCTGGAACAATCCCTTATATATGGAATTAGATAAACTACAATACAATGTACAGAGCTAGTTTTCAGGATGGAAATCTTCTCCCCCTTTCCAGCTCTGTAGCCAAAATTTTCCCTACCCTCATATATGCACTTTTACTATATTAAATTACAGCACGTTATCAGAGCCCAGGAAAATGAAGAGGGTTGGGTTTTGTCATCGACCCCAGATTGTAACTTGATTTCATCAACTGACAACGCTAAGGGTTTCATATCTCAATGCTATAGCATGCTACTGGCCCCTTTCCCCACAGACCACCCTACTAACGCACTTCAACACTGGGAGGTAGACCTGGGGCAGTGATCGATGGGAAGAAGTTCTCCAATCCATAGTTATTATCTCCCTGATTACTTCTCAGAGACTGTCACAGTTATATATCCTGCTGAGAACCCATCATACACATTATCAATGTCACAAAATGGGTCTGCTTGCAGATCCATTATTCCATAGATGTAGGTGAGATAGAGGGAACCATATTCACCTTGTGTGGCACTGGCCAAAACTCCACTGCTATTGGTCATATGTCCTGAATACTCTTAATAGAGTATTTCAAACCACAGTACCCTGAGATCCGAAGTTCTGTTTGCTATGTGTTCTAAGGGACTTTATTCCTGGAGAAGGGTTGAGAGCGGCATTGACCCGTGCCCTTTTTCAGGCTTGTAAAACACTCTTGCTGTTTTGGAAATCCCTTGACCCCCCATAATCAAGCTTTAGTTGTACTATAGAAGAAGTGGTCTTCATAGAAGATGTGCTTCCAAAAAGCCATATCTCTGATATGGAAACAAGGCTAAGTGACTCAACTATGCACAAACACGTAGAAAACTGGGGTGCAGAAAAATGGCAGCAGGTGCTTTGGACTGATGAGTCAACATTTGAAATTGGCTGTAGCAGGAGCTTTTTGTTGGCTAAAGGCTTGAGAAAGGTATGTGTATCAACATAGGGGCTGCCTGAGTAAATTTGAAAGGCTTTGGGCCCCCTGGTTAGGTTCACCTGATCCTAGGGAATTAGTTCAAATGAGACCACAGCAGTGCTCTTCTGCCAACATAGTTGCATGACCACAAGTGCTGAATTCATCATTACACTGTATGCTCATGTGTCCTTTTTCTTGACAATTGGGGCTGATCCACTGGGTAGAGTGTACTGTATCTGCCTAGCGATTTTCCATAATTGGCTGCTGATCTGCTCTGAATTCTGTATAACTTTCTGTATTTTCACCAGATTGTAATTGTTTTCTTGGTTCAATAAAACCTTTCCAATAAAACCTTTCCTGATTAAAAAAAAAAAAGAAAACGGGCAACATTGAGGATCATAGACACAGTAGCCAGCCGAGGAAACTTAATGCATCAGATGAAAGATACATCACTTACTTGCTTACTTCCCTCTGACATCGGTAGATACCCAGCAATGCCATCAGCACAGACCTGGTGGAAACCAGTAGATCCCAGGTACAACCCATCTGCTCTCTGGAGAAGTCTGGCTAGAAGTGGTCTTCATAGAAGATGTGCTTCCAAAAAGCCATATCTCTGATATGGAAACAAGGCTAAGTGACTCAACTATGCACAAACACATAGAAACTGGGGTGCAGAAAAATGGCAGCAGGACTTTGGATTGATGAGTCAACATTTGAAATTGGCTGTAGCAGGAGCTTTTTGTTGGCTAAAGGCTTGAGAATGGTACAGTAATGAGTGTTTCGGGCAACAGTGAAGCATGGTGGAGATTCCTGCACGTTTGCGGCTGCAGTTCTGCAAATGGAGTTGGAGATTTGGTCAGGATCAATGATGTCCTCAATGCTGAGAAATACAGGCAGACACTTATCCATTATGCCATACCATTAGTGAGGCATGTGATTGGCCCCAAATGTATTATGCAGCAGGACAAGAACCCCAAACATACAGGTAATGGCATTAAGAACTATCTTCAGCATAAAGAAGAACAAAGAGTCCTGGAAGTGATGGTTTGGCCCCACAGAGCCCTAATATCAACATCATGGAGTCTGTCTGGGATTACATCAGTGTTTCTCAATTCCAGTCCTCATGAACCCCCAACAGGTCATGTTTTCAGGATTTCCATTATTTTGCACAGGTGATTTGATCAGTTTCACTGCCTTAGTAATTACCACAGCTGTTTCATCTGAGGGAAATCCTGAAAACATGACCTGTTGGGGGTCCATGAGGACTGGAGTTGAGAAACACTGGATTACATGAAGAGACAGAAGGATTTGAGGCTACCTACATCCACAGAATATCAGTGGTTAGCTCTACAAGATGCTTGGAATGATCTACCTGCCGAGTTCCTTCAAAAAGTGTGTGCAAGTCTACCTAGAAAAATGTATGCTGTTTGAAGGCAAAGAGAGGTCACATTAAATATTGATTTCATTGATTTCCCATCTGTTTATTCTTCCTTACTTAACATTTTGTTAATTGATTAAAATAAACCATTAACAGTTTTATTTCTGAAAGAGTTCTTCATTTACAGCATTTTTTTCACAAATGCTCAGAACTTTTGCACAGCACTGTATTTTTGTCTTGCAAGAATAAATCTTAACCACAAATTGACCACAATCTTGAACCGTAATTTTTCACACTGTTCTTAGGGTAACACAAGAGTCACAAACTAAAATGTGTATATGTGTATTCTTTATTGCAGCAATTAAATTAATCCACCAGAGACCCATTAACAACTGCTTTGTTTCTCAGTTAAAAAAATTAATGATTTGCTGTGGGATGGATGAGAATTGCTCCCAAGTCAAAACCATATATTATAAAAAGGCTTTGGATACCCAGGAACAGATCTCTAACATCAGACAGCTTTCAATTCTGGAGAGGTGAGGAAATTGTAACACAGCAAATGGTACCACAGATAAAACAATGAGGACAATGTCCATAACAACACACCAGAGTCTTATATGCAGTGCCTTTTTCAAAAATATTATTAATTAAGGCAAAGTTATATACACTATATTGCCAAAAGTATTGGTCCGCCTGCCTTTCCACGCACATAAACTTTAATGGCATCCCAGTCTTAGTCCGTAGGGTTCAATATTGAGTTGGCCCCGCCCTTTGCAGCTATAACAGCTTCAGCTCTTCTAGGAAGGTTGTCCACAAGGTTTAGGAGGGTGTCTATGGGAAGGTTTGACCATTCTTCCAGAAGCACATTTGTGAGGTCAGGCACTGATGTCGGGGGAGGAGGCCTGGCTCACAGTCTCCGCTCTAATTCATCCCAAAGGGGTTCTACTGGGTTGAGGTCAGGACTCTGTGCAGGCCAGTCAAGTTCCTCCACCCCAAACTGGCTCCTCCGTGTCTTTATGGACCTTGCTTTGTGCACTGGTGGGCAGTCATGTTGGAACAGGAAGAGGCCATCCCCAAACTCTTCCCACAAAGTTGGGAAATTGTCCAAAATGTCTTGGTATGCTGACACATTAAGAGTTCCCTTCACTGGAACTAGATGCCATGCCAAATACCTGAAAAACAACCCCACAACATAATCCCCCCTCCACCAAACTTTACACTTGGCACAATGCAGTCAGGAAAGTACTGTTCTCCAGGCAACCACTAAACCCAGACACGTCCATCAGATTGCCAGACAGAGAAGCTTGATTGGTCACTGCGGAGAACACATCTCCATTGCTCTAGAGTCCAGTGGCAGTGTGCTTTACGCCACGGCATACGATGCTTTCCATTGCACTTGGTGATGTAAGACTTGGATGCAGCTGCTCGGCCATGGAAACCCATTTCATGAAGCTCTCTATGCACTGTTGTTGGGCTCATCTGAAGGCCACTTGAAGTTTGGAGGTCTTTAGCTATTGACTCTGTAGACAGTTGGTGACTTCTGCACTTCAGTATGCACTGACCCCGCTCTGTCATTTTGCATGGACTTCATGGCTGATATGCTGTTGTTCCCGAGTTGCTTCTACTTTGTTATAATCCCACTAACAGTTGACCGTGGAATATTTAGTAGTAAGGAAATTTCTCTGAAGGACTTATTGCACAGGTAGCAACCTATCACGGGACCACATTTGAATTCACTGATCTCCTGAGAACGACCTATTCTTTTAAAAATGTTTGTAGAAGCAGTCTGCATGCCTAGGGGCTTGATTTTATACACCTATGGCCATGGAGGTGATTGGAACACCTGACTCCAATCATTTGGAGGGCTGGCCGAATATTTTTGGCAATATAGTGTAGAAGGGTACTTTTCCCACAGACACCCAGTCTCAGATCGCACCTTTTCCACTGACCACCAATGCAAAGGTACACTCCCTTTTTTTAGTCTATACTTTACTTCAGGCCATTATTATTATATGTTTCATTTCAGGAGTATCACTGAATCCTATAATCACGTAGAGCATAGGGGTGTTGATCTGTTCTGGGAGTCAGATATGCTATTTATGCCTCATTCTTTTAGTTTGTTTTTATCATATCTACATATATAGCAAAATATACACTCTCAGATCACTTTATTAGGTACACCTGTTCAATTGCTTGGTAACACAAATTGCTAATCAGCCAATCACATGACAGCAACTCAATGCATCCAGGCATGTAGACGTGGTGAGGACAACTTACTTACGTTCAAACCATGCATCAGAATGTGGAAGAAAGGGGATTTAAGTGACCTTGAATGTGGCATGGTTGTTGGTGCCAGACGGGCTGGTCTGAGTATTTCAAAAACTGCTGATCTACTGGGATTTTCATGCACAAACTTCTCTAGGGTTTACAGAGAATGGTCTGATAAAGAGAAAATATCCCGTGAGTGGCAGTTGTGTGGATGAAAATGCCTTGTTTGTGTCAGAGGAGAATGGGAATTCGATTTCAGCTGCAACATTCAGATGGTAGAGTAAGAATTTGGCGTAAACAACATAAAAGCATGGATCTACCATCCTGCCTTGTATCAATGGTTCAGGCTGGTGGTGGTGGTATAATGGTGTGGGGGGGGATTTTCTTGGCATTACCAATGTGGACCTAATAAAGTGGCCAGTGAGTGTATTTAAGCAGGGATATGAAAAAGATATGAAAACTTAGTTCCTCCCTAAGGAATCGTAGGGTTTCTACAAAAGTTGGTAAGAGTTCCTTTATCAATGAGCAATTTCTGTCTCTAGGATATGCTACTACTGGCCACAATAATCTGTTTCTGTATATATTAGAGGAGAATTCTTCACAATGCCCACCGATGTAAGGACCATTCATCCCTCTGACCACCAATGCAAAGAGAATTCTATGCATTGACCACAAATCTAAGGGGCATTCTTCCCACTGGCCACCAATGCAAGGGTTGAATTTCCCACTGATCACCAATGTAAGGGACAGTCTTCCCACTAACCACCAATGTAAACAACATTATTTCCAATGGCTGCGAATATAGGGAGCATTCTACATGTTGACCACAAATGTAAGGTGGATTATTCCCATGGGCCACCAATGTAGGAAGAATTCTACATTTTGACCACCAATGTATGAGGCATTATTCCCATGGGACACCAATGTAAGGAGAGTTCTACATAACAACCAACAATGTAAGGAGCATTCTTCCCACTGGCCACCAATGTAAGGGACATTCTTCCCAATGACCATCAATGTAAGGAGCATTCTTCCCAATGACCATCAATGTAAGGAGCAATAGTCTCAATGACCAGTAATGTAAAGGACATTCATGTTGACTTTTTTATTTCTCATCAGGATATTGGAAGTCATTTGATTTTTTTTTTTTTCTTGATCCATGGGATGTTTAATTTCATCACTACAAAAAGAGAAATTAATGGACATAAAAAATGAGACAAAAGTGACCATGTTTGAGTTTACTGGACTAACTGACGATAAAGAACTTGTCCCATTTCTCTTCATGTTCATTTTTTTAATTTATATTGTGACCCTAGTAGGAAACACAGGGATGATAGCTATTGTCTTCATCTTCTCCAGCCTTCACACTCCAATGTATTATTTCCTGAGTAGTCTTTCTTTGGTGGATATCTTCTACTCCTCGGTTATCACTCCAAATATGTTGTCTCAATTCCTTTCCCTTAAAAAATCCATTTCATTTCTTGGTTGTGCTACCCAATATTATTTCTTTTGTGCATTAGGGAGCTTGGAAGTTATTCTTCTCTCATCCATGTCTTACGATCGCTATGTGGCTATCTGCCATCCTCTCCACTACACCTTGATAATGACCAAGAAGAAATGTTTTGGCTTGGTCATTTATTCCTCCTCCATTAGTTTCATGCAGTCAGTTGTGCAAACTAGTTGTGTGTTTCAGTCTTCCATTCTGTGGATCAAGCCTTATTGACCATTTCTTCTGTGACATCTCACCACTGATCAGCTTGTCCTGTTCTGATACTCTCCATTGTCACACAGTAACTAGCGCTCTTGTAGCGGCTTGTGGAATATATTCATTGACAACAATCTTCCTCTCGTATGCTTTAATATTGCATTCAATTTTTTAGGATGACCTCTACTAAGAGCAGGCAGAAGGCCTTCAGTACATGTTCCTCACATATTATTTGTGTCTTGGTCTTTGTTACAGCTGTTTTCTTTGTGTATCTTCGTCCTCATTCTGGGGGCTTTGACAAACAAGACAAAGTGGCTTCTGTCTTCTATACAGCAGTGTCCCCAATGTTGAATCCTCTTATCTACAGTCTGAGGAACCAAGAGGTGAAGCGTGTTCTTGTTCATGCAATGAAAACCCCTTTTTTGATGTAGGCATAAAGCCCGACTTCAGGCAAAATGTTTTTTTCCAATAAAGTGGAGCTGTGCCCATGCTGCATGGGTTAACTGCTCATTTTCTCTAGGGGTGAACACAGTGAATATACTCACCCAATCCTCAGACTGTAGCTGGCCAGCTAAGACCAGTCCTAGGTTGTTAATATGGTTCACATATATGTGTATACCAAACCTGCCAATAACCTCAGTACAGTATATATGTGCATGTGTTAAAGCCAAAAGCAAAATCATTGCTGTAATTTGTCTTTGATTGTTATATGACATTTATATATTCATTGTGTAGAGCTGAGCCAATCACAGACAGCCTCACACTGTACAGAGCCTTAACCAATCCCAGCCAGTTTCACATCTATGCCTGTGTAAAACTCCCTGCTAGGATTTTCTAGAGACACATGCTCACCAGACAGAAGAGGAAACAGACAGTTCCAATCAGAAAGCTTTATGGAGACAGAGAAGGCCAAATAGGTATTTAATGCACTTGTGTGTTCCTCTATTGTTTGGCAGTGCAGGTGGATCTGTGTGTTGAAACTGTTGTGTGTGTTTTACTTGTAGTTCCACCGAATATATCTAACGAATTTTACGAATATAACGAATATATCGAACGAACGAACTTATCGAATTGAATATAGCAAATCGAATTTATCAATCTATTGAATCAACCCAATGTAATACAAGTTAAACCATTGTAATATGAAAGAAACAAGCCATTGTAAACAGTTATATGAAGAAGATTGAAGTTATTAAAGAAGTTAACTAAAGTATTCGGTGTGCTCTTTAAACCTACTGCATCCATAGAGCGGCATTGGAGGAATTACAGAGTAAAGTCAGTCCAATCAAACAAAAGAAACAGCAATTGCATAATTTTTCTAATGCCACAGCGCACTAGGCACCAAAGGGTGCTGCGCCTGCCACACAGACCCTGTGGAAAACAGTGCTCCCCCACATCCAGCAGTGGACTGTTCCTGACGTCTTCATGTCCAGAGTCGGTCTATGGGTGTGATGACGTCAGGAACAGTCCACTGCACAAGACCGCTGTACTGCAGGGGGGCAGGAGTCGAAGGGACAGGTCTTGCAGTAGGAGGATTGGAGGATTAGGTGAGTATATCTTGCTCTCCAAATCCTAGACCAAAATGAGCCAAAACCCATGCAGTGAGGGCACTATGTGGTACAAAAAAAAAATCCCGGAACATATAAAGCTGCTAAAATTATTATAAAGCAGGCAACTGTATCTATAACTCCTGTGAAGATTCCTGGAGCCTGAAGCACTGTACTATACAATAATAGTCTCTAACAGTTGTGTTACCAGTAATTGTGCCTTGCAACAGGAGGACTGAGACCACCCCTGGAAGGATTAGATTGCACTTGCCCTCATTGTGTCTACACGGGTCCCTGCTTGGCCACGTGCCTTTGTCTGGATGCCCCACATATATAGGTATCGATTGGCATCGATTTAGGGGGAGGAAATCCCCTAATACTTATTAGTAAATCATTTTTAGCATTCGGGTTCTGAAGTCCAAAGATCTGGTGAGAGCAATCTAAACCTCAAAACTGTATGGACAGAGATACAAACCCTTTGGCATGGTAAAACAGCTTCAATATATGTATTTATTATGTGCATTTAGCTGCTTGCTTGGCAATAACATTTAGCAATAAAAATACTTTAACCGCTTCATTTTATTTCACAATCAAAATTTTATTAGATGATAGATGGCATTGATGGGCACTGATTGGGACTGATAATCTGTATTGATGAGAACTGATAGGTGGCATTGATAGGCACTGATTGGACTAATAATCTGCATTGATGGGTGGCATAGATGGGCACAGATAGGTGGCATTGATGGGCACTGATTGGGACTGATTATCTGCATTGATGGGCACTGATAGGTGGCATACATGGGCACTGATAGGTGGCATTGATAGGCACTGATTGGGACTGATAATCTGCATTGATGGGCACTGATAGGTGGCATAGATG